GCTTAAGTTTTCTTTCTGTAAGCGAAAAGAGCTTTTTAGTAAACGTTGCTTAATATATTACACACAAAATTACACACTTTGCAGTTGTTTTTAAAATAAACGTATCGTAGATAATCAAAGCGAAATTCACAACCGCACGCTGCCAAGTTCAAAACTCAACTGTGACTTGGTCAACATGCTGGTCGCTAGACGGCCCGGCCATAAGCTGCTGAGCAGCAGCGCCACTTAAAGGTGGGCCAACAGCACACGCGAATACTTTGTTTGTAACAACAAGCAGAGCGTTTGTAGTACTCACGAACGATCTCAACTTTATCGTAAAAGCATWAGAGTATAAGTAATAGTGAGCAGCAGACAACAATGAGATATATTTGTATCTTATAGTAAGTTTAGGCGCTCCTACAACTCACAGCTACTATATTGCATGTAAATAGCCAGTGCAAGTATGAAACGTTAGAAGCTGAGTATACGAAAGCTTTTGAGCTTACAGGTTGTAAGTAAGACTTGTTTACTCGCACAGAGCGCCCCCAGTCCGCACAAGTCAAGCGATTGTTAACATACTACCAATATAGACATGTGAAAACAAATATTACACATGCCTTCTCGAAGCAAGATTGGATTTGGTAAAAGAAGAGGGCAAGAGTATTGTATATTTACATATTTKTGTACTTGTAGCAAACAAAAAGATAATACACAAGCAGATAGCTTTGTTCAACCAAAAATATACCGATTTTAAACTTAGTGAATAAATAAATACGAATCGCACTTGCATATCTTCAACAAAGCCGAAAGTGGGGGACTCACATGCGTCTTCATGAGTGTCTTCACATATTTTTGTAAATAAGCAACCGTAATAAGTACASTAACTGAAAGGTATTTGCGACTCTCTCAAAATAATATTGCATGCAAAAATAATTATTTGCTATTTCTGATTATTGTTGTATTTAACGACTTGTTGTAGCCTTAGCAACTCTTTCAATTAGCAACTAATAAATAAATACCTCGGTTAACGCAGTTAACGGTAAAGCACAGAGTTAATACGAATTAGTATTACATGCATAAGAAAATATTTTTATTTTGTTGTTTCTCCAAATTTGAAGGTCAAAACAATTTTCACAAATTAGATGCCTATTTRGCCCTTCGTTATCATTTATCCCACGCATATTTTGTAATAGTATTTGATTTTCAATTATCATATCGTTGTGACAGTTGTTCACTGGAGCTTCTTTATAATATAAAAGCGGCTAGCAATGACCCTAAGCTTTGCAGCTTTTGTTTGGGTAGCTTAATTTTTCCAGATACACTAGTCTACACTGATTTTTTYCTGTATTTGAAATGGATTATTCGTTCTATAATCCTTTGATCAGAGATTTCTACGAAAAATAACAAGCAAAAATTACTTATTTTTCAAATTGATCGCAATACGCTTGTGCCAATATATTTTGAGAAAAGCTCAAAAAGAATAAAATCAAAAACCATTAGTTTGCGATTCATAATTCCGACTACCTTTTTTACAAATACATAGCTTCGGGCAAGCGACGCATAACACAGAATATTTATTGTACCTACTTACRTATTTTGTGTTTGTAAAACCAATTCAGAAAATTAAACAAAGCTTTGCGAGGAACTTATGACAGTTTATTCATTATAACTTTAATTTTTTGTTTCAACTATTATTTTTTAAGTTATCATTATGAGGATCTTTTATATATTTGGTTAAGGTTTTGGGGCATAACATAAATTTTGTATATGGCTCAATTCACTATAAATTACTATTTTTAATTTTTTTTTTTTTAAATTGCTTTTGAAAACTCTGGTGGTCCATACAATTATTCTCCGGGTATTAATATTGTAATGTCATAGACAATTTTTTGTGTTTAAAGAATTTTGTTGAATTTCAAAGCTTTTATAAACTTATAATAAATTAAGCTTTTGTAATTTTATTTTTGGCTGGGGGTTCGCTGTCCCCTAAGCGAATGTGTTTAAAAATATTTCTTGTTAGGCTAAGCCGTTTACTAAACTATTTTTATTCTGTTAATTGAGGTGATGTCGTAAAACTATAATTTTTCTTGAAGTTTTAAGCTTTGAAAGCAACTATCTAGTGGTTTTATGCTTAGTTTGTAGAAAAGCTTTCAAAAACAAAAAAATATTTCGAAATGCGTTCAACAAAAATAATTTTAGAGTATAATTAATAATCGATAAACAATGTTTAGCCTCGCTAAAGTAAAAATATAAATAAATAGTATAGATAATTATTGTTTGTCTTTGCATCGGAAATAATATGTTTTTTTCTATTGCCTTTGCATAAATATTATCTTAATTAACTATATTGTTGTTCTGTTGTTTGTTTAAAAGTTGTTGGTAATTACTTTATTACCCTTGAGTCACATACACAACTACAATAAAATTGGTTGTTCTTATACATTTTTCAGCTATATTTAATTATTTTTTTAGCTACTAATATTGACATTTCATTCTTTCACTTTGAGTTTCTAATTTTTTTAAATTTGTAGTTTTTTAATGATAAATATTCGTCTTCTTATTATTTGAAACTTTAAAAGTTGGTTGATGTTATTATTGTTTTTATTCTACTGTCTGAATGGTCATTGCATTTGCTGCATTAAAATTGCTTATACTTTCTTACAAAAAAGAAAATATATAATAAGCGAAAATGTATAAAAAAAATTTGAGAACATAAAAAAATAAGAAAAAATGTATACTTATAAAAAGGATTTTATATATAATTTATTTTATAAAATTAAATTTAGTATTTAAATCACTTAGAAAATAGCATTTGTAACAAAACGAGTTGTACTTAAAATTATCAATTTCTAGAAAACCATCAAAAATATGGAATTCTTTTACTTGTTCAGAAAAATTTTGTTTTATAAAAAATCTTCGAAAATAAAATTTGGTTGTTTAGAAAAATTTTAATTTCTAAAAAATCTTCGAAAATAAAAAAATTTATTCTTCTGAAAAATTCGATTTCTAGAAAATTTTTGAAAGTAAAATTTTGATTCTTCAGAAAAATTTCGACTTCTAAAAAACCTTCAAAAATAAAATTTTGGTTGTGCAGAAAAAATCGATTTTAGAAAATCTTCGAAATTAAAATTTTGGATTTCCAAAAAAATTTCGATTTCTAGATAATCTTAGAAAATAAAATTGCCTTTGTACAGAAAAATTACGATTTCGAAAAAATTTTTTAAATAAATTTTTTATTATGCAGAAAAAATTTGATTTTAGAAAATAAAATTTATGTTGTTCAGAAAATTTACAATTTCTAAAATATCTTCGAAAGTAAAAGTATCTTCGGAAATAAAATTTTGGTTGATTGAAAAAATTTAGATTTATAAAAAATCTTCGAAAATAAAATTTTGATTCTTCAGAAAGAATTCGATTTCGAATTTTCGAAAAAAAAATTTTGGGTGTTCAGAAAAATTTCGATTTCTGTGCCATCTTCGAAAATAAAATTTTGAGTAAAATTGTTAGTGTTGAAAATTTATAACTACATTTTTTATACTTTAATTATAATTAAATGTTATTTCCACAAGTTTTATAAACACAATTATAGTGATTGTAAATTTTAAGTTTTAATAATATTAATTTAATATTTTTGTTTGTTATTAAGTCCATAAATAATAATTTTGATATAAAAACTAAATTTTTTAGCATTTATATTTTTTTTTAATGTTTTAATGTCACGACTGAGACCCAAAAACATAAAATCAAAATCTTGCGAAGTCGCAATTTTTCTTATTTACTATTATGAGTCATCCAATCCTTCGACCATTACATTGCAAGCAGTTTTTAATTATTCTTTGCATCCTGTTTTATTTGTTTGCGTTTTCCTTCTCTGCTTTGCTATTACATGTACTTGTAGTACTCTAAATACTTGGACAGATAATATTATTATTTTATTTTTTTTTTTGCAACATATCAAAAATCCTTTCCGCACATAACTTAATTAAACCAAATATGTGTGCAGTTGTAATTATGGTAGCATTGTTTTGCTACTAATATTATTTTAACTAATTTAGAATTTTTTTAACAAAAGATTATTAAATATTGTGTTTATATGAAAAGTTCCTAGAAAGTGTTTTGTTTAAAATTTAAATTATTATTTTACTAAATTTTTTTGTTTTAGAAACAATAAATTCATTTTATTCGAGGTTGAGCGGAGGAAACATTTCATTTTCAATAAAATATTAATCAGTTTCCAAACAATTAACTGCTCGGAGTAGAAAACGAAACAAAATCTGGTTAGTGACAGAAAATTTTCCAGCGATTATCGTTAACTGCTTTCATATGTTAGACAATATTTAATTTTTAAACAATTTTTAACATATTCCATACAAAATTTTTCAAATATTAATTTTTTTTCATAATATTTTCGCAAGCATAAAAACCTGCAATATATTTTTGTAATACAAATACATAGTTATATATATTTATTTTTTTAATTGTGTTGCTATTTGCTTAACTTTTGTTCGATTTGCCGTAAAAAATGAAAATAAAAAGATCGATTGCTTTTCAATGGTTTATTTTATTAGACTGCTAAAATCAACCGGTTGCCACTGTGAACTTTTTATTAATATCTTTTTTACCTTTTTTTGTTAATTTTGTTGTTTAAACGACATTTAAAAACATTTTATTTTCTTCCAATATCATACGGTCATGACTAAACGACGATAAAATCAAACAATCAACGCACGAAATACTTAGTTCATACTTTAATTAATTATATGTACTTAGTAGCTCCCACTGTAAATATTACCTTTTTCCATTTTTCGTTTAATATGCAATTTAGTTTGTTAATAATGTTTAATTTGTTTATCTGTTTATATGGAATGGCTGGCAGACAAACTGGCACTTACATTAGAACTCAATTCACAAATATTCAAACATTTAAAATGCAATGCATCCCTTTTCCTAAACATGTTTCGAATTCTTTCATATTCGCTGCCAAATTTTGTTTTAATACTTTTTAATTTAATTATACCATATTTTGTTTTAATCGCTTTTTTTTAATAATAACAATAAATTACATTATCATAATAAGTACAATATCATTACTGTGTACATTTGTAGATAAGCTTGATGAATACTTAATAATTGTAACATGGTTCTCTGCTTCTTCTTCTTTTTAATATATATTTATTTCGTAATTAAACGCCATGCCACTTGGCTTAGGCCAAAACAATGCTGCACATCAGAAACATTATGCCAGCTGAGAGCAGCGCCGTAACCGGCACGGTCACAATCCAAGCGTAGGCAATGTTTCTGAACAAATGCCAATCGACAGCACCGACAGCAACGCCCGCAGCAGCAACAGCATCACCACCAGTAGTCACAGCCTGCACACCATCGGCGCTATTGGCTATGGCGTTCGTACTCGTTGATGAGGACACCGTCATTTTAGCGCATATTTCATTCGCATTCGTTGTTGTTGGCGTGGTAGCAGTGGATGATGTAATGACAGCGCCTTCCACTGAAGCCTCCTTTGAGAATCCAGCTTTCGCTGGTTTATGTCCCTTGCCACTGACATGTCCCACAAAAACCACAGAACCCACTTTGCAATGTGTCGTTGAGATGGGTAAACCGATTTTGCTCGCCAATAGCACCGTGATCGCCGCACCGACCTCGATAGTGAAGCCCCTGAAAAAGGAGGCAAAATCATCATCAAAACTTAGCTAACCTCAAAATTTTAAAAAACAAAACCTGCACACAAAAAAAAAGCGCAATACAAGGAATTTAGTTTGATTATTCAGTAGCTATGACAGCGATATACTATAGTAGTCTATCTGAACAACTTATTCGGAGATCGCGCCGTCGCCTTGAAAAACAACGTGTGCCAAATTCCGTGAAGATAACTCGTCGAATAAAATACAAGGAATTCAGTTTGATTATTCAGTAGCTATGACAGCGATATACTATAGTAGTCTGATCTGAACAACTTATTCGGAGATCGCGCCGTCGCCTTGAAAAACAACCTGTGCCAAATTCCGTGAAGATWACTCGTCGAATAAAAAAGTTTTCATACTTGATTCCGATCATTCAGTTTGTATACCAGCTATATGCTATAGTTGTATTAAACTGTTTGTTGAAAAAAGAATATGTGCAAAAATTCAAAGCGATATCTCTAAAACTGAAGGACTAGTTCGCATATATACATACAGACAGAGGCACAGACAGCTGGTCACAGTGATCATTATACATACATACAAAGTCTACGACTTTCTCAGCTGTTCAGATTATAAATATAATTTCTAATTCTGGTATTTACTCCCACTCTTTTCTAACATTTTCTTAAAAATATTAACACTTACGTGGAGGATGTAATTTTCGTTAAATCATTGCCGATTGTCTCGATGACCCGTCGTCCCCACAGCCATAGACCCACTGAGATACCAATACCTCCATAGATCAGAATATAAATGGGACTTTCGGCCTTTTGCATCACAGAACCCTCTCTATAAATCATGTACAACGCGATTAGTGGCCCAATGGCATTACTAGAAAGTAGAATAATTGTTGTTACGTAGCTTTTGTTTGTATGACAGCTTCAAACTTCAGCTACTCACCTCACATCATTACCACCGTGTGCGAAACTGCCAAAAGTCGCAGTTAAAATTTGTAAAAATGAAAATAGCATTGACACCTCCTCCGACTCCTCGTCATTGTGCGCTGGTGCATCGCCCTTCTGCTTGAAGTCTTGTATCAACTCTTTGCTCTCGATCAACGGTATCTTGCTGGAATTCGGCGATAAAGTAGATGTTATCATCATTTCCAAACTGCTACCGCTTTCAACCACTTTCAAATCCTTTTTGGCAGTTGTGGATGTTGTCATGGGCTCCAACGTAGTTGTTGTAGCTTGAGTAACTATCACATCYGAAATTTGTGAATGTCCATCACCGTTTGGCGCAACAGCGGGTGCAGCGAGTGTGGTTGTAGCAATGTTGGTGGTACTTGTGTCCATGGCAGTTTGTGTAATTATATTATTTGCAACACAGCCGGGTGATTGGTTGCTTTCGAGCAGTTGTTGCTGATGTGCTGGAAGCTCATTGGAATGTTCAAAGCTCTTCATATCCAACAAAGGTGATTTGACGCCCGGCTTAAAATAATCCTGCAGCTGACTGGCTTTCCCAGCACCATTCAATACTATACCGTTTGTATTGCTATTCCGATTGCCATTCTGCAGCAAGCCATTGCCATTCTGATACTGCTCGTCAATGAAATTCAAACTAGTAATGGTCAAATCCGTATTATCCAAGCTGGCTTTGCCCAGCAAGTCTTCGGCTTTCTTTATAATTTCCGGATTTATCTTGTAAGCGTCTGCAGTATAACCGTTGTTGGATGTGGTCACATGACCATTTTTATTAAGCCCATAAGGTGCTAACTTAAATGTTTTCGGTGAATTATCGGTCAATGAGACGAGTTCGGTGATTTCGGCAATTGCTGGCAATTGTTTGCCATCGCTAACGAGTGATAATGGACGACGATTTTTCTTAGGACTACCGGACGGTGAGGATTCTGCAATGTAAATGTATGATTATAATTTTTTGTTGTTCTTAAAGCTTTAGCGTAACTTCTACTCACCAACAGAGTCCTCAAAATTGAATTTGACAGGGTTTTGAGCGCGTAATTGTTTAGCGATTTTACGTTTTTGTATTGGTACAACAATAAGTTGAGTAAGTAGTGCCACCAATAAGCTGAGCGCAACGCTCGTACCTATAGCAACCCCAGTGGGAATGTTATCCATGTAAAGTACTGGGAAATAAATTTAACAAAAACATAAACTCTTGTTAGGTTTACATTGCCAATTAACACTTACACTTCGGTCCATCCAACACCACACTAATAACATTGATGAAAAAGGTGACACCATAAAAGATCGGCAATGAACGAAATCCCGCCTTTAGTGGATCGCCGGCGCGCAAAATAAATTTTCGGATTGCCAAAAAGAGTAAAATACTGACCAAGCCGCTCATCACCGGCGATATGAACCATGAACCCACTATCGTGGCCAATGTGGACCATTTAAGGCCTTGTGTACCGCGCGCMACCAACGAAAAACCGATTGTTGAACCGACAATACTGTGTGTACCCGAAATGGGTAGCTTCAGGAATGTGGCGACCAGCAACCAAATAGCGCTGCTTGCCAGCGCAGCGACACAGCCCAACATTAATTCCTCTTCGGCGCCTTCGTAGAGACCAACTTCCAAAATACCTTTACGCATAGTGTCCGAAACCTTGTAACCTGTAAATATGATATTGTTAATTTTGTAACCTGAAGGAAAATATAAGATATATAAATGATCTGTCATCTGTCAGTCGATATATACGCGAAGAAGTCCCTCAGTTTTGGTAATAACGACAGGATATTTTGAACACGTCCTTTTCTTGCCAAGAAGCTGTTCATTTGTTGGAATTGCCGATATCGGACAACTATAACATATATATATATATATATATATATCATACAAACGGAACGATCGGAAACAAGACTTTGTATGGGAAACTTTTTTATTTGACGAGGTATCTTCTCGAAATATTCGTTAGTTAGCCACGAAGACAGCGCTGTAAACTCCAAAGTTCAGATCGGACCACTATAGCATATAAAAACCATACAAACTGAAAGATCGGGAACAAGTTCTTGTATAAAAACTTTTTTCTTTCACAAGGTAACGTTACGAAATTTAGCACAGATTATTATTCAAGGCTATGAATAAATCGTTCAGATCGGACCACTATAACATACAACCGAAACGTGAAGGTAAATCGAAGTTAACGGGTTTTTTACTRAATATTTTTAACTCAAACACCAATATTAATAATAAATGCACTCACCAATCAAAACTGCTCCAGAAATTTCACATATTGTCGCCAGTACGCAAGCTTGTCTTATAGTGAGCACACCCGAACCAACGCTCGTACCAAACGAATTTGCCACATCGTTAGCGCCAATGCCGAATGCCAACACAAAAGCGATCAGAAAGCCGAGCACGACCATCCATAACAAATCGGGCGATAGTGCATCCATGTTGCAAGTTTTTTTTTCAGTGCAATTAATTTGACTATTTATGTAGTTGTTATTGTTTTATTTGTTATTTGATTATAATATCATTTGATTTAGCGTTTTCACAATTATTAGCGTGTATATTAAATGTATGTTAGAAATTTTCCAATAAAAAATTAAGCATACACACGGTAAGAGGAGCCGTAGAAAATTGGAAAAAAAATCTGAAAATTGTTAAGCGTCTGCTTGAATCAAATACCACAATCCTAGCTATTTAATTACAAAAGTATTCAGTATTTAGCTAAAAAGCTTCAATATCATTAAATGTTATGAGTTGATTTTTGTTTGTATGTGTGTGTAAGTGTAAATGTATTGTTAATCTAACCAGTAGGTGGGTARGGGGGTTTTACAAAAGACACAAACAGACAGATATAGACTTAGTTAGACAGGGGATTTGCTTGTAATGTTTGAAAACTTATAGAATACTATGAAATAAAATATTCGAAAAATACACTAATATTATTTTTCAAATATTTAAACAGCCATATTTGCGCTTAAATTTCATGTTTGCAATTTTCATTACGAAAATATGAAATTTTAGTGAAATTCAAAGCGACGCCGGGCAGCGCTTGTACTTAAACTAAGCTTAAATGATCTTTTACTAAGGCAGCTAGTTTTAACCAAACTAACTGCGCCTAAGAGCAAACAATGCCACACACAATAATTTGAAATTACATGTACTTAAAGCGGAAATAAAAAGTAGTTAGTTAACACACTTCCCCACTCTTTAACAAATTCGGTTTGTGTAATTGTGTGTGAGACAAGATTTATTTAAATTCTTTGTAGTTTATCGTATCGTTATCTTTTTTCAAAAGAGTTTTATGTTGTTTGTCGCTTTAAGCGTAATTTGTTTTCAATTTAATTTCTGGCTTGCTGGTACGCTGTTCTCCGTTTCGTTTATTTTTCGGTGATTTTAAGAAATATTTGCGTCAACTTTGCTGTAGTCACGCCTGGCTGTTGTTGTTGCTTTTCTTAAAATTGCGCGAAAACGAAAATCTCTTGTTATAAAGTTATAGAGAGTGCATTAGTTGTTGTTTTTGTTGTTGCTGCTGCTATTTTTGCAATGCTTGTCTTTGTTGTCTGCAAAAAGAATTAAAAAAAAAATAGTTAAGAGAGCAGAAAAAATTAAGAAAATTGTTATCTTTTTTTAATGCTTGCTTTTTATACCTGGTGTTTAGGACAGCATAATAGTTGATCCGTCAGAAAGAACAGTAACATGTCTGAAAAAATGTAAAATAAAGTTTGAAACATTTTTTAAGTGATGTCAGTTTATAAATATAAATATTTTCAAGTTTTTTCTTTTATATAAACACCATTCTACAATATTTGTACCCAACATATTTCTAAAGTACTGGTAAATTGTTGTTTAGTGTCATTCGCGGAACCTAAACGGCACTAACCAAACCCCGAAAAGGTTGCTTAGTAAATTATATTCTCTCTCTCTCTCTCACTAAAATAAAATTCTAATATTTTTCATTTTAATGAGTGAGAGAGAGAGTATACGATGTAACGCTTACCGACTTCAGCATCTGATCAAATTTGACCCAGGCTAAAAAAAAATGTGCTAATATACTCGTAAATATGTACATAAAACCCATAACTGCAGTGAAATTTCACCCAGATATAGAAGCATGTATATAAGCAATAAATGAGTGCTCAAAAACGATTATTTTCAAKCACTGTTTCTTTAACTTTTTGYTGTTATCTTCAGTAGTCGGATGGACTACTCCCATGAAGAACGTTTTCAATTACTTCACGAACTTACCTGCATGCATGTGTCACTCAAATACTTATATTCGTGATAAAGTAGACGGGATACTTTTTCAAGAACTTCAACGATTCCGTAAACGTGATTCCATTGAAATCGCCACACAAACTTTTCTGGTATACACGAGCAGTTGCTTAACAACTAAATGACATATAAAATTTAAACTTCGCAAAAATACCAAAAGGATTGTATCAGTCTATGAAATTTTTTTACCGATTCGCAGTTAAAATGGACCAGTCCGAGTCAAATTTGATCAGTTGACACACATTTTGTTTTAGTACATGTATATGTCCAAACATGGCTTCCTTTACAAAATTCTATTTTATTATTTATTACTTCCCTTGTAGCCAGCAAAATCATTCAGGATACACTCAGTAACATCATTACCAATACCAACACCAAAAATTCATTATCCTTGTCAAAGTTTCGCAACTATTTATAAACGTCACTGCAAGGATCAAGGATTAAGTTGTGTTAAGTAGAGACGAAAAGAGAAATTTGACMCGACTATACGCTTTGCGCTATAGCACACAATTAAATGATCAACTTGACTGCAATAGGAGAAGTACAAATKGGCAACAATTAAGATATCAACCCAKAAAATAAAACGTTCTGTGGGTAATGGGAAAGCATAGTTGGCCGTGTACGAGTTTATTTATAATAGAAAAACGCAACATTAAACGTTTTAAAATCATATGAAAGGGAAATTATTGTGACTGTGGAAAAAGTGTTTAAAATTCAGGCTCAAAATACAAACAATCCGAAACAATTAAATAATTTAAAATGGCATTTTTATGAAACAACATTGTAGGAAATGCTAAACAAAAGTGGTTTATTGTAATATTAAAACCCCTACAATTTATTCGATTTTTAATTGCCGACAATTAGCAATAACAATAATACAAATTTGATAACATTTACAATAATCTCTTGCCCGCATTATTACAACAGTGGAAACACCGGATATCGAGCAATTTAACGCTTTTGTTAACTGTCAGATAAACATCAGCCGAATTCGCATGCAAATCGTACAAAATGCTTTTCCCAAAACTATCTAGATATGTAGATGTACAACTGAAAGCACACACCTTTTCAAGTAACCAGCAGATACTTCCAGTTTGTCGAGCTTCAAACCAGTTCCAACTAAATATTTCTAATGCTTCTAATGTGTTTTTCTCTCAAACACACACCTTTCGTTAAGTTTTCCAACTTTTCATTTTACTTTACATTAAATTTGAATGCCATTATGGTAATCTGCAATCTCTTATTAGCGGAAAATTATTGTCACATAGAGCATAGACCCAGCAGGAAAAATATGAGGGTAAATTGAGTTAGAATTTTCGGACCAAAAATATATATATACGATTCATATGAGAAGTTTACTGTCAATTTTAAATATTTCGATCAAATATAATAT